GCCACAATTTGTTGTGATCCACATAATCAAAGGCTTTAGCATAGTCAATGAAGCAGAAGTAGATGTTTTTCTGGAACCCCCTAGCTTTCTCCATGATCCAGCGTATGTTGGCAATTTGATCTCTAGTTCCCCTGCCTCTTCAAAATCCTGCCTGTACTCGGTAGTTCTCGGTCCACATACTGCTGGAGTCTAGCTTGTAGGATTTTAAGCATAACTTTACTAGCATGTGAAATGAGTGCAATGGTGTGATAGTTTGAACATTCTTTGGCATTGTCTTTCTTTGGCATTGGAATGTAAACTGACCTTTTCCAATCCTGTGGCCACTGTTGAGTTTTCCAAATTTGCTGGCAAATTGAGTGTATCACTTTTACTGCATCGTCTTTTAAGATTTTGAATAGCTCAGCTGGAATGCTGTCACATCCACTAGCTTTGTTGTTGCTCAGATTTCCTAAGACCCATTTCACTTCACATTCTAGGATGTCTGGCTCGAGGTCAGTGACCACCCCATCATGGTTATCTGGGATGTTAAGCTCGTTCTTGTATAGTTCTTCTGTGTAGTTTTGCCATCTCTTCTTAATTTCTTCTGCCTCTGTTAGGTCCCTGCCATTTTGGTCCTTTATCATGCCCATCTTTGCATGAAACGCTCCCTTCATATCTCCAATTTTCTTGAAGAGATCTCTGATCCTCCCTATTCTGTTGTTTTCTTCTATTTCTTTGCACTGTTCATTTAAGAAGGTATTCTTATCTCTATAAGAATAGAATACTAAATAGTTTCACTTTAATATAAAGATAAATATGCTAGAATTCATAAAATTCTGCTAGGTACATGTCTGTTCAGGGCAAAAAAAAATCTTTACAGAAAATATGATTAATGCATAACTAATTTAAACCTGACACATTATCCACTGCGGCCTATGGGCCCCCTACTCTAATGTAGAACACGGGTATTAGTATTTCAGTTACTCAATTCAGTTACTCAATTATCTATTTCTAGGAATAGAGACAACAGAGATAAAATTTCTCTTAAAGAATTTTATTCACAGTCCTCACCCCATGTGTGTGTGTTTGTACGCACATGTGTCTATTTCTATGTGCACAATTTTGGATTGTTGTCATTTGAGAGCTTCCGGTGCAAACAGAACACTGGGATCCAAATGTACTACCACTGGTCTTACCTAGTTGAAGGTGTGATTTAAGACATGTGAAACTCTATTTCTTTCTATGTCTTTGGTACTATTGTTACAGTACTTACTCACTATGCTTTCTGAAATTGAAACTGTACAGGACTCTTCCTCCAGATGTGTGAAGATTACAATTTCAGAACACAACAACAGAGAATTGCACATGAAAATGAACATATCCCATTAAATTATCCTCAATGAAAATGGAGAGAGAGTCCTTCTTCAGGCAACCCCAGCTATTAGAAATGTTATTTTCTTATCAGTTTTGTATACTATCATAGTCACGTATTACTAAAATCAACCAAATAAAACAAACCCTCAGTCTTGAACCACATTTCAGTTCATGAGGCAGTGGTAAAAGCCACCATATGATAGGCAAAATTCCATGAAAAGATCAGTAAGTTAAATGCACTCATTTTGTTAAAGATTACTGAGACAGTCCCCTCACCTCACGCTGGAACTGATTCAACTGCTGCTGGAGGTTGACTTTCTCGCTCTTTAGAAGAGAAGTTTCCTTGGATTCATAAGCTGAGAACATATGTTCTTCTCCAAAGTCACTGATCAATGGAAACTGCAGGCCAGATACAAAAAAAAGCATGTGTGCATATATATGAGAATAATGTGTATTTACATATCTACTGTATATGTACACACATACACACATATTTTATTAATATTTGTACAAAATGGGAAGCAATAACAAGTAAATCTGCATGTAAGATTTAAATATGGGAGAGTTACAATATTAGCTGCTACAATAAACACAGAAAAATGATTCTGTGTGGCCTGGACAAAATAGATTTTTAAAAAATCAAATACTGGGTAAAATATAAATATATTCAGTGCTTCAACTGTCTTTCCATGAAATGTCTAGTTGGAGTTGACAGTAATCTGTGAGCCACAATATGAGAGCCATTAGTTTAATGAGGAGGTTCTCTATTAACTTAGTTACTTTCATTTTATTTAAAATGAAAAACAAAACAAAAGGAGGGAAGTGTTGTATAACCAAGAAAACCTTCTGAATAGACTTACAACATGTGAGCATTGGCAACAATATGACATTTTTCCTCGAGAAAAAACTAAAATAGACAGCACATTTATCCATCTAGCAGCCACCTATCCTGGGCATGATCAAGTGGTCCACAGCGGTGGGGGAAAAAAGAGTACATGAATAAAAGGCTACTCCAGCCTTCTTTAACTTTGCATCCTCCAAAGGTATTAAAATACCTTTGCTGGCTGGAAATTTCTGAAACTGCAGTCTCAACACAGGCAGCTGGAGAAGATTGCCCTAGCATATCAGGAACCAACACATTAAAAAGTAGGAGGGATACCCTCAGCCCCTATTGTGTGGGGTCAATGTTCTGTAGCAATAGATAATTACATATATTCCTGCCCATGATAGGAGCAACATTTTTTTTTCTGAATTGGTATATGCTATTTTTCTGGCTGATCTTACTTTGCACAGCTACCACTCACCTTGATCTCATACATCTTTAGTTTCCGTTTGAGGTTAGTGTTCTCCCGCTCTAACCCTGTCAAGCGATTCTTGATGTCATCATATGCTGTGATGAAAGCAAAGTGAGAGGCAGAACACATCTCACTGGAGAGGTCAGTGTTCGGACTGTCCAACCATTCATCATCCTGCACCAAGGCATCTTGGGTAAGGATGCTGATGTCATCCTCAAACATGGAGTCCATGACATAGTCTGGAAGGGGTGAGCATTTAGCAGGAAATATCAATGCATGGCCAAATCCAGCTGCAGGAGGTGACAAGAAACAAGAGTAATAAGGCTGATAGCAAAATACCTTTTTCCAACATTCCACTTCTTTTAAGCATCTTCTTATCATTTCTGTTATAAGTTGTGTAAAGAGCTATATATTTGTAAATGGATTTTTAATTGTTGAAAGCTATTCTGAGGGACAATATCTGTTTAGAATCCAGGATAAAGTCTAATAAAGAAAAGATGCAAAAGAAATTATATCAACATTTTTGTACACACTTTGTTACCATCTTCTGATTATGTGCTTCCTATTGATAGCATATCATTACTGTTTTAAAGATTTACAGTACACTAGTGTGGTACTCCAGTACATATTTGTGTTTCTAACCCTTCATTTGTAAGTATGCTAAAGAATTGTGGTGGATTGCTCTCCACCAGCTGCATCTATCAATTATGCTGTCTCACCCATCACATATTGCAGCAGTTTAGAAGTCCCTATTATGTTTATTGATTTGTGCTTGGAAGGAAGTTAAGCACAAATTAACCCAACAGGACTTGCTTGGCATGACCGTATGTCCTTCCCACATGCTTTTAGGGAACACAAAGTTTGTCAGAAACACTCTTAGTACACCTCCCATTCACCTTCACAGGTCTTGTACCACAGAATGTTTGGATCATTGTTCACAAGGTTCCAGATCTGACTGTGTACCATTATATGCTGTGTTGAATGACATCTGGGGTCTAGTTCTCTAATCTGAAACTCAAATGCTGCACTGGATTTCTCAGTATGAGTACTGGAAAGAAGAAATGTGCTAGTCAAGCCCAACACAGAGATAGCCTGCTGAAAGAACTAAACAATTTCAGACATGGGCACAGAATGTGACAACCCCCCAGAGAAGGAAAGGAAAAGGGGAAGGAGAACGGGAAGGAGAACAATAGTAAGATAAAATCAGGTACGGAGGAAAGGTGAGTGTCCAAACTGCTGCAGCAACTTGCACACCATGGCAGAACATTTTTAAATGGTTTATGTGGGCGCGTTGAGTAAAGAAATGAGACTACAAAAATCATTATTTTTAAAAAGCAGTTTACAGTTCTGAATGGCTCATATATTCATATATAAAAAACAAAAATAGATAACAGATAGCTACTGGCTCTTTAGGAAATAAAGAGCACAGGAAACTACTTGTATAGACTCAATCCATTGAGCTATCCAGTTCAATATTCTGCATCTACACTAGACAGAACATGATGGATCAGTTCCACTACAGATCTCCAGTTGATCTGCAATGCCCAAAACTCTGATTCCCAGTTGCCAAACAATAGCAACAATAAAAAGACCCCACTTATCCTACATGAGGTAACTGAAAGAAAATTTGGAGAAAAAATTAAGGTAGACATTTCCCCTGGTCAAGAGGCCCTAGAGAGGCACTTTTCTGCATCTAAATCCATTTGGTGATTATATGGGTTCTAATTAAAATAAAGCATTATTATTACTGCCCCCCCCACTTATTTCCAGTACTCTGGAAAGTATACATATAGATTTCTCCTATTTTATCTAAAAGCAATCCTGTCAGATAGGCTGGCCTAAGGGAGAATGACTACTCCATTTTCCTAAAACTCCATGGTTTAACCTGGAACTATTCACTATTGCCTTGGGTTATCTTCGTGTATTTATATCACTATCAGGGCTTCATCCAAAGCATGAAAATCAATATGTCTCTTTCTAGGAACTCAACTCTGCACTCAGGGCCTAGCAGTAAAGAGTCAAAAGATAATAATTTACCCTTATTACAGATATCAAAGTAGCTTCAATAATGGGGGAAAATGAGCTTTAGGCTCTAGAAATCAACCACTGGCTTTAAGTACTACCTACAACTTTTTCTCTTGCATTTACGTGATAACAAATTTCTTCTCGTTCATTTCTTGACCTTGAATGTGGAAAGCACTGTTTTGACAGATGTTCTATGTGGTCTTTGATTTGGCTTTGCCAGTTTCAGTGGTCACAGTTACCAAGAGAGTACCAGACTGCCTTTAAACCAGTCTGTACTAAATTGCTAACAAAGAGTTAACAAAGAGTTAAAGGGAGACTGGGAGACAGGGTGCATAAAAAAAAGCACTCAAGACATAGATAGATAGATAGATAGATAGATAGATAGATAGATAGATAGATAGATAGATAGATAGATAGATAGATAGATAGATAGATAGATAGATAGATAGATAGATAGAGGAAGTTTTTCAGACAGACCGGTCTGATTGAGTACACCTTGACATTTTTAACTGCTATACTGCAGTTTTACTTTTTATAATACATTTTGCCTTGCAGCCCCCCAACTAGGGGCGTTAAACAGGCTCAAGTCGCAACTGTGAAACATTTTAAATCCAAATTTCTTTTTCTGACAAAGAGTTAAAGAATTAAATTGGGAGACTAAGATGGCCATAGTCTCCCAATTTAATTCTTTAACTCTTTGTCAGAAAAAGAAATTTGGATATAGATAGATAGATATAGATATATAAAAAGATAGATAGATAGATAGATAGATAGATAGATAGATAGATAGATAGATAGATAGATAGATAGATAGATAGATAGATAGATAGATAGATAGATAGATAGATAGATAGATAGATATAATTATATTTGATTTCTCTGAATGGTGCTGTGTATTTCTGTCATACTTTTCGGGGTGGGCGTGTGGGTTACATGTCTGCCACAAATGGTAAAACGATCCTTCTATTTTATAGCATTTCCAACTTAAATTACTATATGATTTGGCAATTATTGACAGAGTTGTATATCACCTACAATATATTCTATCCAAATTTCATCATAAATTATAATTTGGGAGTAAATTTTACACATTTGTTCCATAATTGTTCCCATTGTTGTTTTGTGACTGTTTCTTTAAAATTTTGCAACCAATTTATTATGTATTTTTAAAATTTGTTCTGTCTTGATGTCATAGCTGAATAACAGTTTATATACAGGTAGTCGTCAGCTTACCACCATTTGTTTAGCAATTGTTTGAAGTTACAATAGCACTGAAAATAAAGACTTAGATCTCATCCTTGCATTTACAACTGTTGCAGCATTTCAATGGACACATGATCAAACTTTGGGCACTTGGCAACCGATGTGTATTTAGAAGTGTTGCAGCATCCTAAAGCCATACAATCACCATTTGTCACCTTTCCAGCTAATTTCTGATAAGCAGAGTCAATGGGGGGGAAGATGATTTGCTTAACGACACATGATGCACTCAACTTTAGTAATTTGCTTAACAACTGAGGCAGAAAAGATTGTAAAAAACTACTTAAAAATTACTGTGCTCAGCAATGGAAATGCTAGTTCCAATTGTGGTCATAAGTTGAGGACTAACTTGTATATGCTCTAATACATGCTCATGATTGTGCATGAGCATTTCAAATTCTTAACATTTTCTTAAAAGCTGTCTCTCATTTTTGAAGTCGGTTTTTATTCTTCCAGCAATATGTGGGTATATCAACAATGGTATGCTCCAGCTTCACCAAGTAGTTCTTGGTATGTCTTTGATCTGTTCATGGAGCCTAAATGGATGATACTGTAATTGCATTTTTCTTACTCCAAAATTAAAACAAAATTTTAAGGAGAGGCTACCAGTGAGATTGTTGGAATTATTATTATTTTCATAAGATTTCACACTTTTTATCAAACTTCACATTATGTTATTTTTAACATTTTTGTACTCTTTGATGTCCTTGTACCATAAATATCTATAAAACCCATTAATTACACCAGTTCCATGCAATGTTGATGTTCTCCTATGTGAGGATTTTATCATTTCTATTAGGAATGACAAACAGTTTGTCCTGTAATATTCAGCATTCAGAATAGAGTAGAGCTGGAAGGGACCTTGGAGGTTTTCTAGTCCAGCCCGCTGCTCAAGCAGGAGTCCCTTTATTATTTCAGACAAGCGACTGTCCAGTCTCTTCTTAAAAACCTTGAGTCATGAAGCACCCACGATATCTGAAGGCAAGCTTTCCACTGGTTAATTGTCCTCACTATTAGGAAGTTTCTCTTTAATTCCAGATTGCTTCTCTCCTTTATTAGTTTCCATCCATTGTTTCTTGTCCTGCCCTCTGGTACTTTGGAAAATAAATTGACCCCTTCCTGTTTGTGGCAGCCTCTCAAATATTGGAATACTTCTATCATATCGCCTAGTCCTTCTTTTCTCTAGACTAGCCAAACCTAAATCCTGCAACCATTCTTCATATGTTTTAGTCTCCAGGCCTTTAATCGTCTTAGTTACTCTTCTTTGCACTTTTTCCAAATATCTTCTGTAATGTGGTAACCAAAACTGGGTGCAATATTCCAAGTGTGGTTTTACTAAGACTTTATAAAGCGATATTAATACTTCATGTGATTTTGATTCTATGCCTCTGTTTATACAACCAATGATTCTATTAGCTTTTTTGGCTGCTGCCCCACACTGCTGACTCATGTTTAAGTGATCATCCACTAGGATTCCAAGGTCCCTTTCAGTTACTGTTTTTGAGCCAGGTTTTGCCTAATCTGTACTTGTACCTTTGGTTTTTCCTGCCCAGGTGTAAAAACATGCTTTCCTCCACAATGAATTTCATTTTGTTGTTCAAGTCTGTCAAGATCTTTTTAGATCCTGAGCTTGTCTTCTGGTGTATTAGCTATTCCTGCCAGCTTAGTGTCATCTGCAAATTCCCCTTCTATTCCCTAATCTAAGTTATTAATGAAAATATTGAAGAGTACTGGGCCTAAGACAGAACTTTGTGGTATCCTACTGCTTACTTCCCACCATATACATGTAGTATCATTAAGGACAACTCATTGAATATGGTTTGTCAGTCAGTTATAAATCCATCTGATGATGATACTGTCTATCCCACATTTTTCTAGCTTACCAAGAAGTAGGTTGTGGTCTATCTTGTCAAATGCCTTGCTAAAAGGTGAAAAATTTTGGGAGGGATATTAAGGGATAGGGGCCACATGATCAGGAAGGTTTTGATGTGTT